ATCTATCTATCTATCTATCTATCTATCTATCTATCTATCTATCTATCTATCTATCTATCTATCTATCTATCTATCTATCTATCTATCTATCTATCACCAAGCTCGCAACGTGCTCACAACGCAGGCCGGTTGTTCGACTGACATCGGGTTCACAAAATGCCTCGCGGACAGCGAGCGCAAACCTCCACCAAGATGCCTGGTTCATCCTCATTCATTTCTTATTTTTAGGCCATGATCAGCTTCCACGATCCACGTAAACTCTTCTACAAGGTGACGCCCTCGTCCTTGTCCTCGTCCGCTCCGTCGCCGTCGTCGGTCGAGTCCTTGTCGCTGCCCACATTTTCATCGGCCGAGCAGAGACGCTTGCGGCCTTCACATCGCTCGTTGGCTTCCTTGTCCTGCGCCATCACGAGCAGCTCCGCGAGCAGCGTGCGGTACACGCCGAGGACGCCACTCAGCTTGGCCACATACGCCTCCATGCGGCGCGCGCGAGGCAGGTCCCGCGCGGCATCCATCGTGCGCGTCACATCGCGGTACTGCTGCAAAAGCACCGCGTGGGTCGGCGCGAGGCGGTGCATTGGGAGCCACGACGTCGGCGCCGCCGCCTCGGCCTGGAGCGATGGAAACGTCGGGTGCGGTGGCATTGCGTGCAAAATGTAATCAAAAAGCACCGAGAGCTTCGTGTCGCCGGCCGGGCCGCAGAGCGCAGCGTCAAACGCCGACGCGCCAAAGAGGCGGCTGTGCGACGGCGGCACCGATTCCTTGCTCCACGCGAGTTCCGTGTTGGCGACAATGTAGTCCATCGCTGTCGACCGAAACCGGTTGCCCACGTCGCAGGCCACGTCAATGTGCACATCGCAGGTGCCGGGCAAATTCGCGGGGGCGCGGAACGTGGCACGAACGTGCGGCGTGCTGTGGAGGTCGTCCGACGACTCGTAGACGTTGAATTTTTCAAAGCTCGCGGCATCCACGAGTGTCAAGTCGGCGTCGCCAAGTGATGGTTTCACGAGCGAAATCGGGCAGTCAAAGGACGCCGGCGCGCTGGCCACCGCGCCGTGGTGCAAGAGTGCCAGCCAAAACACGGCCAAGAGCACCTTGGCGTCCGTCGACTCGAGCAAGCGATAGTTGTTGGCCGTCTGCTTCCACGCGCCGTTGATGGCTTGGAGCGCGAGCGTTCGCAAGCGGTCCATGTGCAGGTGGCGCTGCCCGGACGTCGCGTTCGTTGAAATCAAGTGTGCCGCAGCGTCGCGCAGCGTCAATGTCGTGTAGTGCACGGGGCGTGTCATGCCTGGATATCAAATCGCAAACTGAGGAAAGCTCGCGACGGTTGCAAACGCATCTGATTGGCCGTTCTATATTCGGTGGGCTTTGATTGGTTGAACGATCCGCCAGTTGAGAGGCTTGCCACGGGCAAGTTGCCCCATTGCAGCTTCTTTCTGACGGCGGCGCGGGGCACAACGTGCCGGTTGACCATGCGTGCTTCCCAACTGCCGCGAGGAACCAGAACCTTGGCCTCACCATCTCACGCTGGAATGGAAGCCAACATGTACTGTATTTCGCTCGTTGTCGGCAGTCTCGTCCGCCATAGCCTAGCCGTTTAAGAGCTGCACGGTCAATACCGACAGCTACCAGGACGGCTACCGCCATTTTCACTCCAAACCGAGGACGTATGATAGCTTCCCGATACGCCAGCCCCCCATGACCACCACGAAGCACGGAAGAAGTGTTCGCGCATCCAAGTTAATGCTCAGCTCATAAACGCCGTTGCTACTCAAGGCATCGCGGAAGGGACTTGAGCGTGGATAACCACAATATGTGCTGACCGAGCCCTCACACCGGTGTGAAACCGAGTGAACACCGTTGACTGGTGTGCGAAACACAAAAACCACCGTTTCCATCTTTTTCACGCGTGACCGCACACGCGTGTAGAATGTGAATAATGTGGGGAATGTGTGGCACGGCATCCGGAAAACCTGCCAGAGAGGCGATGGTATCCGTAAATCCCGATCTTTGTATCCGGAACACGTCCCGGAGGCAATTTTGTTGGTGCCAACGATGTCCGTCCAAGTCTACACGTACGAGCTCTTCCCGGGCAGGTACGACGGCGGTGGCTCCATGGACATGCCAAGCCTCATGCGCGCTCTAGAACGCTTCACGTGGGTCTCTTCCACGACGTCACAAACGCCGGCGAGCTCCTCTCGCAGCTCCTTGCGCAGACCATCGACTTTTCCCTCATCAACGCCGAGATGGTGCGCCGCAGCTGTGGCCTCGCCGCTCATGTAGCTTTATCCTAGGTGACGGGCCTCTTTCCGCTGCATGCGGCGGCGTCGCGCACGCTTCTTAGCAGCCAAAACAACGCGCTCCTGACCAACACGCTCCACTCGGAGCTCGTGTACAACCTCTCGGGCTCGCGCAACGTCACAGATTCGCTGCGGCGGTTTGGCATTAGCGCGGCGACGACGAAGCTGCTCATCTGCGCCTTTGACGCGGATGCAGCCAAGCTCGACGAAATGCGCCGTCTCGTCCAGGGCACGCTCGTCGATGTTGCGGGCCTCGAAAGCCCTAGCCACGTGACGCCAGCCACCTTGCAGCAGCTCAAGAAGCACTACAAGATCACGGACGTCGAGCTCACGGCGTCGTCGCTCACCGACGCGATCGTGACGCGTATCGCGACCAAGAGTGTCAATAAGTAAACGCCCACTATGCCATGCAACTTGTCCTTGTTCGCTCCGAGCGTCCGTGCGGGGCCTATAGCTATCAGCAGCAGCCAGCCAACGCCGCGGAGAGGGCGTGTTGTGGGAGGTATGCTACACGCCGCCTGCGACAGCTCCCATGGCGTTGAAGTCGCATGGCTTGCGTGCCCATGGCGTTGAAGTTGCATGGCTTGCGTGCCCGTCATGAACCTTTCTCTGCAAGGCGCGCGTCCGTAGACACCTTGGCCGTCGACGCAGCGCCTGCCTCCTGGCGCTGTTGCCAAACTCGCTCCGACTCTGCCAACACACTATATTTAATGCGTCGGATCAGCCTCACGGCTACGTCATCCGCGGCTGTATCTGATGGCGCTGGCTCATTGGCGCGCTGGCACGCGTAGCTTATCCTTTTGTGCTGGAGCATCACCTGGGAAGCGCGACGACGTAGGCAAGATCGCGGCCCTTCGCGACTTCGGAACTTGAGTGGGCTTTTTCCACGAGGCAAACAACAAGACTGCAATTCTTATCCGAGTTCTTATCGGGTTCATGGCTGCTACATGCACCATGGACCGGAGAGGTGGCAGCGCTACAGCGGCCCACTTCGCAGGGCCGCGTCAAGTTTATCCAAGCGGCCACCGCCAAATGGACCAGCAGCTTCAACGTGGGTCAGGAGCCAATAAAACACCGGCGGGAGGGCCGCCCGTTCGATCTGCGACACGTGCATACAAACACCAAGTCGATTGCTCGACGCTCGCGAAGATTCCCCCGCGCTGCCAGACGCTAAAGCCACCCAACTCTTTGTGGCTTGCATCGCCATGGCCACAGTCCCGACGGACCGCCACGCCACGCATAGCCACGTTCGCTTACGCAAAAGCCTTGCGTCAACGCGTACACCTGCTCTACAGCCCTGCGAGCCATGGGGCGCTCGTGAAAGCGTCCCTCCTCCTCGCTCAACGATAGGAACGCAACGATCACCCAACCAGCCGACGGCTCCTTTTCGCCATCGAGGGCGAGCGGCTACTACCGTACAGAGTACATGCTTTGGAGTGTCGTACTGTTTGGCTGTCGACGAGAGCTCGCTCGTCGCTGCGAAAACCCGCCATCGGGACGCCAAGTTGCGTGCGATTAGCCGCATGACCATCGCGTGGTGGCAAGCCCAATCTTTTTGTTGCATAGCAGGGTCTTCCACATCATCCTCGACGTCATTTCCGCTTTTGCCTCCAACTGCAAAGATGGCCCTGACCCACGAAGAAGAGACGCTGTGCGTCAACACGGTGCGCATGCTCGGCGCCGACCAGCCGACGGCCGGCAAGTCGGGCCACCCCGGCGCGCCCATGGGCTGCGCGCCCATGGCCCACACGCTCTTTGGCAAGGTCATGCGCTTCAACCCGAGCAACCCCAAGTGGGCCAACCGCGACCGCTTCGTGCTCTCCAACGGCCACGCGTGCGCGCTCCAGTACTCGATGCTGCACCTCACGGGCTACGACGTGCCGATCGAGAGCCTCAAGTCGTTCCGCCAGTGGGGCTCCAAGTGCCCGGGCCACCCCGAGAACTTTTGCACGCCCGGCGTCGAGGTCTCGACTGGTCCGCTTGGCCAAGGTCTCTCGAACGCGGTCGGTCTCGCGATCGCCGAGAAGCACTTGGCCGCCGAGTTCAACAAGGACGGCCACAACATTGTCGACCACTACACGTACGTCATTTGCGGCGACGGCTGCATGCAGGAGGGCGTCACGTCCGAGGCGTCGTCGCTCGCGGGCCACCTCGGCCTCGGCAAGCTCATTGTCTTGTACGACGACAACTTGATCACGATCGACGGCCACACGGACATTTCGTTCACGGAAGATGTCGCCAAGCGCTACGAAGCGTACAACTGGCACGTGCAGGTGGTCGACGACGGCAACTACGATTTCGAGGCGCTCCACAAGGCCGTGCTCGCCGCCAAGGCCGTCACGGACAAGCCGTCGCTCATCAAGATCCGCACGACGATCGGTCTCGGCTCCAAGATTGAAAACACGCACTCGGTGCACGGCGCGCCGCTCAAGGCCGACGACACGGCGTCGATCAAGGAGAAGTTTGGCCTGAAGAACGAACCGTTCTTTGTCCCGGACGTGGCCCGCGAGTACTATGACCGCCGCGAGGTCGGCGCGTCGCAGGAGGCCGAGTGGCAGGCGCGCTTGGACGCGTACGCCGCTGCATACCCGGTGGAAGCCGCCGAGTTTGTCCGCCGCATGGAGGGCCGTCTTCCGGACGGCTGGAAGGCCAACTTTCCGACGTTCTCGCCCGAAGACAAGGGCCTCGCGACGCGCCAGTTCTCCGAGAAGGCGCTCAACGCCGCCGCCGCGGCCTTGCCCGAGCTCGTCGGCGGCTCGGCCGACCTCACGCCGTCGAACCTGACCAAGCTGACCATGTCGGGCGACTTCCAGAAGGACACGCCGATCGGCCGGTACCTGCGCTTTGGCGTCCGCGAGCACGGCATGGCGGCGATCTGCAACGGCCTCTTTGCCCACGGCGGCGTGCGTCCGTTCTGCGCGACGTTCTACAACTTTATCGGGTACGCGCTCGGGGCGGTCCGCGTCTCGGCGCTCTCGCAGTTTGGCGTGCTCTACATTGCGACCCACGACAGCATCTTCCTCGGTGAGGACGGCCCGACGCACCAGCCGATCGAGATGAACGCGTCGCTGCGGTCGATGCCCAACATGTTTCTCTACCGTCCGGCCGACGGCAACGAGGTCTCGGGCGCCTACATTGACGCGATCGAGCACCAGACGCAGACGTCGGTGCTGACGTTTACGCGCCAGGGCGTGCCCAACCTCCATGGCTCGTCGGCGGCGAAGGTTGCGCTCGGTGCGTACGTGCTCTCGCCGGTTGTCCGTGGCGAGGTTGTTGTCGCTTTCGCTGGCGCTGTCGATCTCGTCATGATCGCGACCGGCTCGGAAGTCTCGCTCGCGATCGAGGCGGCGACGCTCCTCCCGGACAAGGTTGTCCGCATCGTCTCGGCGCCGTGCGTCGACATCTTTGAAAAGGCGTCGGTCGACTACAAGAAGGAGGTGCTCCTCGAGGGTGTCCCGATTCTCAGCGTCGAGGCGGCGTCGACGTACGGCTGGGACCGCTTCTCGCACCTGCAGTTTGGTCTCGACCGCTTTGGCGCGTCGGCGACGATCGAGCAGCTCCGCGAACACTTTGGCTTTAACGCGCCGGCGGTCGCCGCCGAGGCGCAGAAGTTGTTGGCGTTCTACGCTGGCCGCGCCGTGCCATCGCTCTTTGACGTGCCGGCCCGCCGCGTCGTCAAGGAAGGCCACCACTAAATGTGCAGCTAAGCTTACAATTTGGATTATACTAGTCTTGGACATGCAGCGTACAAAGCGCAAGGACCGTGTTCACGGTCGAGATGGTGAAGGTTCTAGATCAACAACACCGCAAGCACCGCCCGTCACGATAAAGCGTTGAGAGCTCCCACTACTGCACCAGCTCGTTCCTGTCGCCGTCCAGCTCATATGACATGTTTACTGCAAGGGCAACTGGTCGGCCGCTGGACGGCGCCTGTTGGCCTCGTCGACGACCGAGTTGTCAACGACGGACCTCTGTGCGTCGGAGCCAAGGACGATGCAATTGCCAAGCACGGATGCCGATCATCGGTGCTCGTGAACGAGCGTTTGGGACGTGGTCTTGGGACGCATGGTCTGATTTTCTCTCAGATGGAGCACCAACTTCAACATGGTCCGAAACGAAACAGTGTATTTTCCTGTATACAGGATACTCGCCTGTCCCACCTGTACGTTCTATGGGAGGGAAAGAGGAGGCGCGGCTAGTAGCCAGGAGCATGTCGCCCTCGACCGACCCTTCGTACGCTGCACCCACCAACAACGACTCGCGGATGAAGAAGGACAACAAGCAAGCTTACTACGACTCGACGACGAGAACGAGACAGTTAGAGCGGCGGGAGGCCCGCGGCCGTGCGCAGTTCCTCAAAGATGACGAGCGTGATCATCGTGTGCGGGCCGAGACGCATCCAGTTGGGGAACCAGCCCTTGTAGAGCCCGCGAATGCCTTCGCCCGCCGTGATCTTGCGGAAGGCGTCGAGTGTGCCATGGTACATGGTGTCGTTGCAGTTGACGCGCCGGCACTGCGTCATCATGCGCGTCTTGATGACATCAACTACGACCATAGATGAGCCACGATGGACGACAGAGCAGGATGCGCATACCTGGAGAGGTGACAGTCGCCGCCATAAAACCGGCGAGCATGCTGCACACCGCGTGGAGCGCAAAGCCTTCTTCCATGATCTCGTTGTTGAGCAGCGTGTGCTTGGCATGGTCGTACGTCGGGATCTGCGACGCCGTGAGGAGCGCCGCGCGCTTCATGGTCGGCCCGACGCCCTTCCAGAGCCCCTTGACGCCGTCGTGCGCCACGATGTCCTCGACCGCAGACCGGACGCTGTTGTAGCGCGTGCCTTCGCCTTGCATGCGGATCTTGACGAGGTCCGTCGGGTTGGCGAGCGCGCTACCGAACGCACCCGTGAGCGCGCCAGCGACGACCTTGAGGTAGAGCGGCGTGTGGTGCGGGTCGGTGGCCCCGAGGAGCTCCTTCATCGGCTCGTACGCGCCGAGGCGGATGCCCGAGTAAAAACCGTCGCGGACCACCGACGGCAGCAGGCCCTTGTAAAAGCCACGGATGCCTTCGTTGCCAAAGATGGTGCGGGCGCCGCCAACGAAGCTCGGGTACCGGCGGGGCATCTCGCGCGACGCAGCGAGCTCGCCTTCGAGCTGCATGCGGACCTTCAAGACGTCGATCGGGTTGGTGATCGCAGCCGCGCTCGCGTTGGCGATGCCTGCCAATACGATCTTGGTCCCGATCGTCGGGGCGGCCACGACAGGCAGCGAGACCACGCTCGTCGTCGGCTCGGCTTGGAAGCTCATCTTGAAAAGTGACCTTCCATCTTGCCGTTTAACTTCCACCATGGCGGTCATCCGGATCAAAGTGCACTTCTTATCCGGAAATCGCCGCGGACCATTTTTTATACTCTTTTTTCACGCTGCACTTGGTATTTGTATGTGGCAACGTCGGACAATAAAATAATTCCAGTGGTTCATACAGTGGTTCGCACATGTCGCAAAAGTGGGTCATGACGTGGCAAGGCCATTTGGGTGCATGCGGATGGTTGGGTGAGTTTTGACTCGCCCGCTGCCTTCGCAGCGCAATTACTGCCCCTCAATTGCGATAGAAGCGTCCAGCGGCTACATACTACCTAGTGCACTGCACACTACTAGCTCCACGGCAGGTTGGCCGCCGCTGTCGCTGTGCCAAACCTTACAACGAGGCGGGACGCTCCCCGTCCAAACGAAACTTCAACGACCAAGAAGCGAGAGGAAAGAATTCACGAGGGCCGCTGTCGCACCGGCCGACTCCATCTGTACGTACTGTGGCTTCGACGGGATGTGGCGCCAGCGCATACGATCCCGCCGCGACAGCCCCGAGACAAGCAAAGTTAGTAAAAGCACTAGACGATCGAACAAGATTCGGCGATGTTTGCCCTGTCCGACGTCCCTGTCCGACGTACGTCCGATGATCTGTCCGACGTGCGGTGACGACGCGACATGAACCAGTGGTGTGGCCAGTGTCGTTGCATGGAACCGACGTCACTGCCATCAGTAGGACGCTCGCTCCTCCGATTTCGAATCGAGAACACGGAGTAGCATTAGCAAGCATAAGTCTCGCCGTACCCTACTGCCTAATGGTGGCCATCCTTGACGACGCGGCGGGCCGGTACGTCAAAGAGCGATGGCACGGCGCGGCCAGCGTAGAAGTCGAGGAGGTTTTGCGCCTCGGCGGCGACGGCCGGCGCGTTAAAGCCAAAGTGTTCGCGGAGCTGCTCGATCGTCGCCGACGCGCCAAAGCGGTCGAGACCAAACTGCAAGTGCGAGAAGCGGTCCCAGCCGTACGTCGACGCCGCCTCGACGCTGAGAATCGGGACACCCTCGAGGAGCACCTCCTTCTTGTAGTCGACCGACGCCTTTTCAAAGATGTCGACGCACGGCGCCGAGACGATGCGGACAACCTTGTCCGGGAGGAGCGTCGCCGCCTCGATCGCAAGCGAGACTTCCGAGCCGGTCGCGATCATGACGAGGTCGGGCTTGCCGTTGTATTTGAGGTCCCGCTTGCCGTTGACGATGTTCTGGAGGACGTAGGCGCCGCGGGCCACTTTGTCGGCCGACGAGCCATGGAGGTTGGGCACGCCCTGGCGCGTAAACGTCAGCACCGACGTCTGCGTCTGGTGCTCGATCGCGTCAATGTAGGCGCCCGAGACCTCGTTGCCGTCGGCCGGACGGTAGAGAAACATGTTGGGCATCGACCGCAGCGACGCGTTCATCTCGATCGGCTGGTGCGTCGGGCCGTCTTCGCCGAGGAAGATGCTGTCGTGGGTCGCAATGTAGAGCACGCCAAACTGCGAGAGCGCCGAGACGCGGACCGCCCCGAGCGCGTACCCGATAAAGTTGTAGAACGTCGCGCAGAACGGACGCACGCCGCCGTGGGCAAAGAGGCCGTTGCAGATCGCCGCCATGCCGTGCTCGCGGACGCCAAAGCGCAGGTACCGGCCGATCGGCGTGTCCTTCTGGAAGTCGCCCGACATGGTCAGCTTGGTCAGGTTCGACGGCGTGAGGTCGGCCGAGCCGCCGACGAGCTCGGGCAAGGCCGCGGCGGCGGCGTTGAGCGCCTTCTCGGAGAACTGGCGCGTCGCGAGGCCCTTGTCTTCGGGCGAGAACGTCGGAAAGTTGGCCTTCCAGCCGTCCGGAAGACGGCCCTCCATGCGGCGGACAAACTCGGCGGCTTCCACCGGGTATGCAGCGGCGTACGCGTCCAAGCGCGCCTGCCACTCGGCCTCCTGCGACGCGCCGACCGCGCGGCGGTCATAGTATTCGCGGGCCACGTCCGGAATGAAGAACGGTTCGTTCTTCAGGCCAAACTTCTCCTTGATCGACGCCGTGTCGTCGGCCTTGAGCGGCGCGCCGTGCACCGAGTGCGTGTTTTCAATCTTGGAGCCGAGACCGATCGTCGTGCGGATCTTGATGAGCGACGGCTTGTCCGTGACGGCCTTGGCGGCGAGCACGGCCTTGTGGAGCGCCTCGAAATCGTAGTTGCCGTCGTCGACCACCTGCACGTGCCAGTTGTACGCTTCGTAGCGCTTGGCGACATCTTCCGTGAACGAAATGTCCGTGTGGCCGTCGATCGTGATCAAGTTGTCGTCGTACAAGACAATGAGCTTGCCGAGGCCGAGGTGGCCCGCGAGCGACGACGCCTCGGACGTGACGCCCTCCTGCATGCAGCCGTCGCCGCAAATGACGTACGTGTAGTGGTCGACAATGTTGTGGCCGTCCTTGTTGAACTCGGCGGCCAAGTGCTTCTCGGCGATCGCGAGACCGACCGCGTTCGAGAGACCTTGGCCAAGCGGACCGGTTGAGACCTCGACGCCGGGCGTGCAAAAGTTCTCGGGGTGGCCCGGGCACTTGGAGCCCCACTGGCGGAACGACTTGAGGCTCTCGATCGGCACGTCGTAGCCCGTGAGGTGCAGCATCGAGTACTGGAGCGCGCACGCATGGCCGTTGGAGAGCACGAAGCGGTCGCGGTTGGCCCACTTGGGGTTGCTCGGGTTGAACCGCATGACCTTGCCAAAGAGCGTGTGGGCCATGGGCGCGCAGCCCATGGGCGCGCCGGGGTGGCCCGACTTGCCGGCCGTCGGCTGGTCGGCGCCGAGCATGCGCACCGTGTTGACGCACAGCGTCTCTTCGGCGGCGGTCAACGGGCTCATCCTGCGGTCGTGGTCGGTGGAAATCTTGAAATGAGCAAAAAGATATGTTCCTCTCAAAATAGAATTCGCATATTCATTTCCAGAGGTTGGTTTCACAACGGTCTGATGTGAGTGGCCACCGACTTCAACTTGGTCGGCGTCAGAACACTTGGTCGTCAGGCCCCTTCGATGACGTGGCCGAACCTTGGCCCATGAGCCAAAGCACCTCGTAGGTAGAGAGCCAAAGCACCTCGTAGGTAGAGAGCCAAAGCACCTCGTAGGTAGAGAGATACGAGCGAACGACTCGCGAAAGTTCACGTTGCGTGGAAGCAGCTTGGGCAGAAGGAGCTTCCGTGGACGGTGCGTGGGATGGAAGCACCGGTCCTTTTTGCTTAAATGCAGCTCACTGCAGTCGGTTCGTTGACCAACGTCTTGGCACAGCAACGCGAGCTATACGCGTGGTGCAGATCGCAAAACAGTGGATGAAACTTCTGTGTCATCTCGGAACGAGACGATACGCCTTCGCGAGTACTCTCTGGACAAGTTGTGCGGCCGTATTCAAGTCTTCAGCGTCGACCAAGACTACATTGGTGTGCTAAACTCACGAAGGTTGCCGCGACGAGCTCGCTGTAAAGAGCGTTTCGATGGAAGCCCCAAGGGTATGGCAGCTTTGGCGCTTATTCGGTCCCGATGTTTTCAACGGTGGTCAAGTAGTGCATTTCACTCAGTTCTGTGGTAGCAGGACTTATTGCTCGTGATGGAGATCAAGTACGCTGCTCCACTGCCTCGTCGCCGTGTCGAAGGAGAGGGCAACAGCGAAGAGCAGCTTTCCCGATCTCGATTGCGATGATGCCATTGGCTGAAAAGGCACCAATCATATGCCGCTGCATCGTGGGGCGTCAACAAGGTGCGTCAACACGCAGAGACGATGGACGCTGCTCATGTCGTCGTCGCCGTCGTCGTCGGTGCCCTCCTTCTCCTGCTATGGCCGCGCCGCCAGCTCTTTGATCTGAAGGACAAGGTCGTCGTCATCACCGGCGCCGCCTCGGGCATCGGGCGCGGCTTGGCCATCGCCATGGCGCAGAAGGGTGCTATCGTGGCTTGCGTGGACGTGGACGCAGGTAGCCTCGAGACGCTCGCCCGCGAGTACCCGCGTCTGAGCCACACCTTTGTGTGCGACGTGTCCGACCACGCGTACGGCACTATGCGCGAATGACGGGATGCTCACGCATTCAACTAGGCGCGTTGTCACCTGCTTGGCCGAGGTCGTCGCCGCTCTCGGGCGCAACGTCGACGTGCTCATCAACAATGCTGGCATCGTCCACGGCAAGCCGCTTCTCGACTTGACCCACGACCAAGTCCAGAAAATCTTTGGCGTCAACACGCTCGCCCATTTTTGGACCACGCAAGCCGTGCTGCCGTCCATGCTCGCACGCAACAATGGCATGATTGTGACCATGGCCTCGATCGTAAGGCCTCTTGACGCATCGACCGTGAAGCTAATACGACAATGTAGATGGGGCAGAACGGCGCGGCGCGGCTCACCGACTATTGCAGCTCCAAGTTTGCGTCCGTCGGGTTTCACGAAGCCCGTACGACGCCATCCTCGTGACGCTGACTCAAGTGTCTGTACTAGTGCGCATGGAGCTCCAGCATTTGGGTAAACCCGGCGTGCATACGCTCCTCGTGTGCCCCATGGGGGTCGACAGCGGCATGTTCCGCGGCATCTTCACCTCGGACCACTGGTGGCCGCGCTTTGTCCACACCTACTTGATTCCGATGATCACGGTCGATGACGTTGTCGCGACCGTCATCGAGAGCATCGAGTGCAAGGACTACGAGCTTCTCACGTGTGCGCGGTCGTGGCACCGCTGGGTCTTGCCGCTCGTCACGCGCGGCGTCCGACTCTTGCCCGTGGCTGTCATGGATCTTGTCCTCAGCCTCGGTGGCGGCCGCGACGGCATGAACCATTTCCAAGGCCGGCAGAGTGCTACTACTGCCAAGTAATTCCAAGTGTTGAGTTTCCCTCGCCTCATCCTACCATAACTCGCTCAGATTTCAATGTATGTTCAATAGTACAAGGAGAACTTTGGAAGCTATTCACTTAAAGCAGTCGTAGAGGAAGCTGATGTCATGGTATCACGACGTCGCGTCCACCACAGCGGGCTCGAAGAAGGTCCATGCTGCTTGCGATTTTGGGGGCGAGGGCGGTTAGGGCTTCAAGGTACGCACGCTGTTGCCTTCAATGGGTCACAACACACGCGGGATGGATACCCGTGGATAGTTGTATAGCCAAGCCAATCTATCCACAAAGAAGATAGAATGATATTCATCGGCGTTGCTGGGTCGCAACATTTTCGCGACGGAGTTTCTAGAATCGGTATTGGCGCTGTTGGTTTTGTCCAATCACTGTGTTGGATACCAACGTGGCGCGTTTCATTGGCTCCAAAGAAACACGCGCAGTGTGGGGTCGATGGGATTTTAGCCAATCCGGGAGTATCCTTGTTTGGCCCTAATTTGAGGGCGGCCCCAAGCGTCGCTTCGAGTGCATACAAACGCCAAGGTCGAGATCTTTGTTGAAATTCGGATTCGTAGTCGGTATTTCTGGATTTGCCCAAGGGACGAGAAGAGATGTCGGAGCGGAAGGCTGTGATCAAGAACGCCGATATGCACGAGGACATGCAGCAGGACGCGGTCGACTGCGCGTCGCAGGCCCTCGAGAAGTACAACATCGAGAAGGACATTGCCGCCTTCATCAAGAAGGAGTTTGACAAGAAGTACAACCCGACGTGGCACTGCATCGTCGGCCGCAACTTTGGCTCTTACGTCACGCACGAGACGAAGCACTTTATTTACTTCTACTTGGGCCAGGTCGCGATCCTCCTCTTCAAGTCGGGCTAAACAAGCGATGATAATATCACATGCTACGAATGTACAGCAAGCGATGTCTCTGGCCGCTGCCGCGATGGCGTAAGGCTACGCAGGCCAACGAGATCCTCGTGGGCGAAGGGTGATCACGACGCTAGAGAAGGCCACAAGGTGCCTCATAGCGCAAGGCTCGGGACCGAGGGAGTGTAGCGTCCGTTGGCCGAATTGTTGCCACAGAAAGGCCAAAGCTTCCGAGACGATGGCCCGAAGCGTGGGCGTCATAGACGGCGCTCGTCTTGCTGGCTCGCTATTGCAGAGAGATGGGACAGAAATGCATCGCTACCTGCCACTACGATCTTAGCGGTTGGATAGCGCTATTGAAAAGGTATCGCACTCGTGCACGGATAGATCCTCGTGCTCGCCCATCGATCGACTCGTAGTAGCGCCTACGCACTGACTCATCCGCTTGGAGTAGCAGCCCCATGCTTCCCTGGCTGTGTATCGGCGCTTGCCGTGCCACTGACATCGGATCCTGCCACGAGGACGCCAACTCCAACGGTTGAGCGAAAACGAAACGACCGCTGAGCTGACTAAACAACTAAACCCAACAACACGACTAAAGCCATTAAACTAACTAAAACCGAAATGACTAAACGACTGAACGACACATCATCGGCCATCGCACGATAAACCGGACATTCCGGATAAAGTAAGATGAACCAATCAGCGCGGTCGGCGACGAGATCATGTTTCTTGTCCGTTTTGAGCATTCGGCAGATGGAGGACTTGATCGCGGAGGCGCTCCGCGCCGAGGGCGACGAAGGCGACATGGTCCGGCTGCTCATCGACATCGCGGCCCAAGCCGAAGATGACGTCGGCCTCCGGACGCAGGCCATCAAGGTCAGCGGGCAGCTCGTCCGCCGCCGGTGCGACGCGCTGCGCCCGATCGACCACGCGTCGATGAGCAAAGGGCCGATCCAAGATCCTCCGGCGGTCGCCGGGCCGTATGCGCTCGTGGCAACCTACCTCTCACTCATGAAGAAGCTGGTGGGCGAGCCGGGCGACCAGACCGCCCAGCTCTCAGAGGTCGTGCGGACGCTCCACGACCTCCTCATCGCCCACACCAACCCATATGACGTGTACGGCCTCTGGGACACGCTCGAAGGCAATCACGGCGACGCTCTCACCGGATTGCTTCTGTCGCTGCTCCAAGGCGTGCTCTCGACCGAGTTGGACTCGGCCGCATCCATTCGCCGGCATGTCTTTGTCCTCCACGGTCCCCACGCCGGGATCGTGGCGCCGGCCATGGCCTTGAGCGCAACCAAGAAGGGCTACACGTTTGCAACTGGGATTCTCATCGAGCCCGGAACGCCCGTCATGTCGCTGCTGAGCCTCCGCGGGTCCAACGGTCATGGGGTCACGGCCCTTCTCGACGGTGACTCGCTCTTGCTCGCGACGCACACGTCGAGCGGGACGTTTACCAAGCTGGTCGTACCGCTACCAAGCCGCCGGCACATGGAGCAGCACTGGACACACTTTTGCATCGTCCACGCCAAGAAGATGGTGTTCAAGGACAAGGTTTCTGTCTACGTCGACGGCTCCCTTGCGTTTAGCGGGAGCTTGCCGTACCCCGACACGGCGCAGCTCCTCGACGGCCACAACTGCATTGGCACGATGCCGCACTTTCCGTCCTTTCAAGGTCGCCTGTGGCTGCCGACGTTCTTTGCCAACGCGCTCAGCGACGCTGAAGTTAGCCAGCTCCACTGGCGCGACGGCGCGCCGCTGCTCCGCGCATGGCTCTACGAGAACGTGGGCCTGCCCGAGAAGACGCGCTTTGTCTACGCGTACGACGCTCGGGCTTGCGCGATCGTTGCGCGCGCGTGCTTTGACGTGAGCCGCAGTGGCGGCGACGGCTGGCTCGAGCCCGGGACGGTGCCCGTGCTCACGTGTCCTTTGCCGTCGGCCATGGTGACTCTCGGCGGGATCACGTCGATGCTCTACAGCTTGGTCCGGGATCCATCAACGATCACGGATGCGTCGGCGATGGCGTGCCTCCACACGCTCATTGCTGGGCTACGCGTGAGCCCTCGCTGCCGCGGCCACTTTGTCCGCAGCCACGGCTCCAAGCTTGTTGCGTCGATGCTGCAGGCGCTCCCGTCGCTCTCATTGCCAATGCTTCGGGCGATCAAGGAGCTCATTGCTGTGCTGTCGACCGCCGTGCTGCCGCCACGGCTGCGCTCGATTGTGCTCGTTTTGCTCGTTATGAACGCAGCGTGGTACCGAGCGCCGTTGGAAACGCAGCTCGCTTTGTTCTCCGAGACGTTGCCGGCGTACCGTGACCTCCTCGAGACGGCGCAGAGCGGCGACTACACGGTCGTCGACGTGGGCTACTGGTGTGGCGTCCTTCGGCGGTGGTATGCCGCGCGTCTCACGCCAAACGAGGCAAGTCTGTGCTGCAAGCTCGTGCTGGAATGCCTCGTGGAGCCAAGCCTCTTTCCGAAAACGCCGGTCGGCACCGATCCATTCTTGCAGCTGGTTGTCTACTTGGACGACCGGCTCGCGCATCTCACAGCCGCCGACGCGGACGTGGTCGAGATCCTTGGTTTCTTGGCGCGTGGACTTGGCGACGGCATCACCCGACCGTCGGGACCGTCGTCGCCACCACCGATGAACCGGGTGCTCCGGCAGCTGCTCAAATGGACACCGCCGTGCATCTGGTACAAGTGGCTTCGAACCCCGATCCCCGCCATTCGTCTCTTGCTGTTGCAAACCTTTGAGACGATGATGCTCACGCTCCCGCTTCGGTAGATTGTCTTCCACGCATATGTGCTGATGTATACTGTAGGTATGCAGACGCCGTGCTCTTGTCGGCAAGCTTGCAAGACCAGCCGCTGTCGTTACCAGAGGTCGAGGTGCTCGTAGACCTCTGTCTCGGGCGTCTCGATGCCAACCACAGTCGGTCAATGCCGACACCGCGTTTTGCGTGCGTCCCGGTCGTCTTGCTCAAGCTCCTCCCGACGTCGCCGCCGTGTGTGCAGCTCTACGTGTTGTATGCTGTCGCAAAAGCGCTGCATGGGGCCGATATGCTACTGGAGACGATTCGATCATATCCCGAGTGGCTCGCCGTGCTAGCTGCCATGGACGTTGACGCACTGCCGTCACCACGAACGTCATCGCGCATGGACCCGGACATGCTCAACGACTATTGCATGGTGTTGGTCGATGACGCGGCGTCCGTCTCGGCGCGGATCGACATGGTGCGCGCGATTGCCTCGTCCAAGGACACTGCCGGCGCCGACCATTTGCTCACGGTCTTGGCCTCGCCACGGACCCCGATGCCTGTGCAAGACGCGATCGTCGGCGCCATACTGGCCGAGCTGCCGTCGCACGTGGCCGCCGTGGCGACGCGCTTCCGCCTTTGCATCATTCAAAACGTACTGCTCTACGCTGTGCGCCATGTCCGCCACGGCTGGATGCACATGCTCGAGGCGCTCTTCTATATCCCGCGGCCCTTGCACCAGCTGCAAGTGCTGGTAGCGGTCGTCCAAGACACGGTTGTCATGCCGTACAATGCGTGGGAGAACCTCAGCCAAGTGGCGTCGATGGCGACCGTGTGGGCCCGCCGCCTCCTACTGCCCGACGGCCAGCTCCAACCGCTTGCGAAAGCAACGATGCAGCTCTGGGCGCTTGTCGCGCCACATTTGAACCAAGTGCCATGGCGGGACGCAGCCGCGCTCCTGCATCTCGAGACGCCGGAAACGCCTGGGGAGTCGATCGTGCACCGCCTCTTTGCGCCGCTCCCGATTGCGCAAGCCTTGGCGATTGAAGCCGTGTTTGCATTTGCTACGCGGGCGGTTGACGGCGTTGATGTCGCGACCTTGCAGCGAACGACCGACGTCATCCTGCACCCGCCGCTGCCCGACGACGACGACAAGACGGCGCCCGAGAGCCTTCGCCGCGCGCGGTCATTGAGCATCGACATGGCGTGGAGCGCTCGCTTGCAGTGGCGTCTTCTCCGTGGACTTGTCGAGTGGCTTCTGAAGGCGCCGTCGCCGCCGCTGTTGCAGTGGCTGCACACGCTGGCGCGCGACCCAGGGTACATTGCAACAACGCCGCTCCTCGAACGCCTTCAGTCGGTCGAGTTGCCGATGCCGAGTGATCTCGCACCGGCCATGACGACGCTCGATACATCAAGTGACTTGAACCAGCACATGGCTGAGTTTAGCGCACTCTGGGACACCCACGTGGCGTCATCGTCGGTGTTCAACGCGGTGCTGCTCGTGCAAGACGCCGACGTCCGCGTGAGCTTGCAGCAAGGCCACCTCGATGACGTGGCGGCAGTTTACGAGACGCTGTGGAATGACGATGATGCAGTTCTCCTGTACCCCATCGCCGATGTCCTCGACCGCCTTGGCGCCGATGTGACGGCGACGACGCAGGCATTTCTACACTCGAGTTTGGTGCTGCGCCTCCTGCTCCAACGCAAGCCGCTGCCAGCACCCAGCACGAATCGGCGCAAGTTGCGGCGCGCTGAGAATGGACTGCGAATGCGTTTGTGCCTCAAGCCAATGACGTCGACGTCGTCGACGCCGGAAGCACACCTGCAGGCCAATGGCGAGCCAACGGCATTGGACGCGAGTTGGCGGAGCGACGGCGCGTCGTTTGAGGAACTCACTGACATGCTCGCCGACGCCAACGTCCGCGCCGTGCTTCGAACGGCCACGTCGAGTACGATTGAAGACAATGACGACGCCGACGACGTGAGCGGGTACGAAGGTCCGTCGTGGGAGTCGCCGCCGCAAAGCGCCGAGCCCGCGCGTTCGACTACGACACCGCGGAGTGCGTTTGGCGCTCGCGTGGAAAAGGTGCATGACCAACTCGCCGAGTCGGTCGAGCTTCTCCAGGATCAACTGCAAGAAAAGGTCCAGGGGGCGAAAGCAGCACTCGACATGCAGGTCGACCATTTGCGGCTCGTCAAGGACACGCTGTCGGAAGAAGCGCGGTCCGTCTTGGCCACCGTGGTACCCAAGAGCAGTAGTCGCCAGAGCAAGACTTTGCACCGTCGCCGGTCGTCGCTTGATGCGAGCATGAAGCTTTTCAAGGCGCACGACTTTGTGTGCAAGGCGCAGTGGATTTGTGATGCCCACATTGTCGCTGGCGACCTCCGCGTGACGGACCGGGAGCTCTTGTTTGTCGCGAGCGCTGTCGTGGACGAGCATGGCGCCGAGGTCGGAGCCGAGAGCAGTCGTCTCGGGCGCAAGGTGCACCGCCTCTTACTCGACGACATCAAGCACGTGTATGGCCGGCGTTATCTGCTCCAGGTCACGGCGCTTGAAGTGTTTGTGCTCTCGAGCCGGAAGAACTATCTGTTTCACATTTGCCACCCGACTTCGGTGCACGACGTGCACCGCGCGATGATGACCAAGCGGCCCGCGCAGCTCTTCCGCGACCCCGAGTGGCGTCGCCTCCGCCATCCGTCGCACATGTTCATGACGTCGGCGCAGACGAGTGCGTGGGTCAACCACGAGATTTCCACGTTTGAGTACCTCATGTGGCTCAACACGCTTGCGGGGCGGACGTACAATGACGTGACGCAGTACCCCGTGTTTCCGTGGGTCCTCGCCGACTATACATCGACCAAGCTCGACTTGAGCCGGCGCGAGACCTTCCGCGACCTCTCGAAGCCCCTCGGCGCGCTCAACCCGAGCCGCCTCAGCTTTTACCTCGAGCGCTACAACGCGTTTGACGACCCGGACATTCCCAAGTTCATGTACACAATGGCTTGTGATGTATGCGACATGTGCGACGATGCCTAGGTACGGGTCGCACTACTCGCACGTCGGCGCCGTGCTCTACTATCTCTTGCGTCTCGAACCGTTTACGACGCTGGCCAAGCGTGTCCAAGGCGGGCGCCTCGACCACGCCGACCGCCTCTTCCACTCGATTGCCGAGACGTGGGCCAACTGCCTCAGTGACACGTCGGACCTCAAGGAGCTTACACCCGAGTGGTTTTACCAGCCGGGGTTTCTGCTCAATGAGAATGGCGTCGACCTCGGCATGTGCCAGAACGGGACAGTGCTCGGCGACGTCGTCTTGCCGCCGTACGCGGCGTCGGCGGACGACTTCATCTTTCAGCATATGCTCGTAGGCTTGCTGCTCTTTGGGTGATATAAACTCTGTGGACTAGGCACTGGAAAGCGAGTTTGTCTCGGCGCATCTCCACGAGTGGATCGACTTGGTGTTTGGGGCCAAGCAGCGCGGGCCGTCGGCGGTCATGGCGCACAATGTGTTCTTCTACTTGACGTACGAAGGCAGCGTCGACATTGACTCGATCGACGACCCGGTTTTGCAAGCGTCGATGCGCGCGCAAATTGCGCATTTTGGCCAAACGCCAACGCAGCTGCTCAAGGAGCCGCACCCGCGCCGCAACGTTGTCCCGGAAGCGTCCATCGCGGTCGTGTCGCCCGTGCTCTTGCCGCACGCCGCGCCGATTACAGTGCTCGAAGTGCTCCAGTCGACGCTGTTTTGTCTGGACGCAGCCGGCTTTGCGTCCGTCCAGCAGCTTCGATCGCCGTATCAAGTGCCAGTACCCCCGACGTCGGCGTCACCCGCCCGCACCTTGTCGCCACTGGCCCTCGGCCGCACCAACAGCTCGAGCAGTGACGCCAGTGTCATTGAAGTCCTCGAGCGCAAGCCGCGACGTCTTCTCGCGGCCGATGCGTGGCTGTCGCCTGTCTGGACGGCGCTATTGGAGGCAGGCAACTATGTCGTCTCGGGCGGCCACCTCGATGGATCGGTGCGCGTGTACGCGGCCAATGACGGCAGCTTCCACAGTGCGATCCTGCACCACGCCGAGCGCGTCACGTGCATTGCGCGGACGCCGCGTCGATACCTTGTGTGCGGCAGCGCCGACGGCACGCTGAGCGTCTGGACGCTGGCGTCAACGAGTGCGTCGCCCTCGGTGCTGCTCGACTTTTCACTGGGCCTGTTCCGGGCGACGGCCAAGCGCGCGGTCATCGAGCCCGACTGGAGTCCCGCGGCCGTCTTGTTGGGCCATAAGACACCGATCGTGGCCGTCGTCGCCTGTGAAGATTTGGACGTGGTCGTGAGCGTCAGCGACCTTTGCGTTGTGCACCGACTGAGCACCGGCAGTGTCGTCCGGCAACTGCCACTGCCAGCCGCCATGACCCGCGTGCGCACCGTCGGCATCTCACGCCTCGGGATCGTTGTCGTGGCCGGCAGCAGCGACGACGACGCACACCACTGCTTGGTTACGTTTGGCGCGGATGGGACGGTGCTCGCGCAAGGGATGACGCATGCCACTACGCGACTGGTCCTGCTCGAGCGCACGGGACATGTCATTGTGAGTGGCCCCCTCGGCGCGTCCGTCTTGGCCGTGCACACGCTGGCTCTAGTGCAAGCGCTCACGACGGTCGGCGTTGCTAGCGTCGCGGTCTCGGTCGATGAAAAGTACGTGGTGCTGGGCCTCGATGTCATGCCGGTGCAGCTCCTCACGGCCAACCTCGTGCTCGCTTAACGACGCATTCACAACGATACCACCAAGAAGAAAACTGCAATTACTGTCGTTGCATAATCCTCGTACTATTGTCTAAAAACCAAGAAACAAACACTTGGAATACATGCATTCTTGGATAGTCTTTTCTCTATAACCGGTTTTTACACGGCGCGCATCGAGTTGCGGCGGTCGCGGCGCGCATGGAATTTTTGCAGAGCGACGTCGGCCTAGTTATAGTCAACTCTGTACAGTGGACAAGTTGTCTTTTACCTGCGCACACAGGGTTTTGACCGCGCGCTTGACGTCGTCCATGTTGTGCGCGACCGAAGTCGTGGTCGTCGTCGACAGGCACTTGGCCATGCCTTGCGGAAACCACGACACGTCGGTCTTGAGAAGCAGACCCTTGACGTACGCTTCCGGGCCATTGCACTCGGTCGCGTCCAGTGACTCGACGTGGACCATGAAGTAGAGGTACGACCACCTACAATAGCATGTCGTTCAAAATTCGACAATAAGACAATAAGAATCGACATGTTGTGGTCGTCGGCAATGTGTTTTTCAAAGCCGTTGTTGAGTCCGCTGGACGCGAGGTAGTGCGCGTCAAAGACGTCGCGGCCGTGGCCGCAGATGAAGCAGACATTGCGTCTCAAGTCGTCCTTGCGCGCGGCCTGCGTACGGAGATCGCCAAACGTATCGATCGTAATCCCAAACACCATGTTGAGCAAAACGACTTTGACGGCGAAAAATGTCACGTCCAACACAAACCGCCACCAGTATTGGTCCCGGTGAAAAAAGTTGGGCGGGTGACTCAGTGCGTTCGACATGTAGCCGCCGAGGCCGCCGTCACCCGCAAGCCCGCGGTGGAGGACCGTCACCAAGCAGTCGAGCAGCGTCGAGCAGTACGGAATCGCGCGGGCGTCGTCCGTGAGGTTGCCCGGCCCGTAGAAGAAGAGCCCCATCGCGTAAAAGTAGCAAATGCACGCGCAGAGAAGCGCCGTGAGCCCGAGGAGCCGGGCGGGCGTCGTCACGGCCAAGACGACGTTTTGCAGCGACGGATTCATGATGACCAAATCGAGTAAATGGTAGAAGTAAAACACGGGGTGGTACAACGTCGCCAGCACCGCCGTGCAGAGGTACACGAGGTAGAACGCCGTGAGTTTTTCAAAGAGCACGTCGTACGCAAAGGTAAAGAGCAGGCCGAGGACCGACCCGCTCGTTTCGAGGTACGTCCGCGTACTCGAGACGACGGGGAAAAAGAGCACCGTATCTATGGAAGAGGATTTGTATCAATCTATCAAGCGACACGTACAGAGCGTCCAGGCTGGAAACGTCGGGAACGTTTGTTCGATCGCAAATTGGCCCACGTACAAGAGCAATATAAACTTGGCAAACGGAAGGTACGCACTGTAGATCGCACCGAGCGTCTCGGTCCAACGCTGGACGCGCTGCTCGGCAAGGGCTTTGAGAACGTCGAGCTCTGAGCTGTCAGCAATGCTATCCGAGAACGCTTTCCGCTGCTTGTACGCTTCGAGCGAACGCTTGCGCATTGCATTGCGCCGGCGCCGGAAGATGAGAGGGATGCTGATGACGAGCATGAAGATGACGACGGCGGTCGAGAGGAAGATTTGCAGCAAGCCGCAGAGGAACATGGGCGTCTTGAGCTTGCTCGGGATGTAGATGTAGTCGCTTGGCTCTTGGTCGTAGTGCTCGATCGAGACAAGCTAGCCAAAGCATGATGCAGACGCAAGAGCACATTGGCCGTACGATGATGAGGTTCATGAAAATGGCAAGGAGAAAGCTCAGTGTCTTGAAGAGCGGGATGTACGGGCGCAGTGCGTTGTAGACGCAGAACTGACTGAGCGCTTCGACGTGCGCCATTTCCTCGTTCATACTCGGCAGCGCCCGCATGAACTGCTTGAGGCGGTCGTTCGAGTCGTACCGGAGCGAGTGGAGCAGCGCGTTCTTCTTGGCACTTAGAAACCGCAGCATGCGGCAGTGCGACGGCAACGGGAAGAACACGAGCTCGATGCGTCCGCGCCAGTAGATTTCAACCGCGCAGTGCATGTCCGTAAAGAACGTGTACGTCTTGCGGTACAGACTAGCGTGCTGGTACGCCGTTGCCGCGGCTTGAAACTCGCTCGGGCTCGTGAAATTAGCGCGCTTCGGGGCGCTGCCGCGGTCGGTCGGCGGCACGAGGAGATCGGCATCAAAGACGCACTTGGCGAGCGTGAGGAGGTTGACACCTTCTTCTAGAAACCGCTCGTCCCACGTAGTGTCGTCGACGTGCACGTCCTTCTCGGCGTGAAATTGGGTGTAGAGAGCCTACATACACGCTTGATGAATCCCTTCTTGGCATTCGAAAGAAGGCAGATGTACGATGAGACGCGCTTTCAGCGGCGGTAGCGCGAGAATGTTGCGAAGCCGGGCTTGCACGTCGTCATTGGACCGGCCCTCCAGGAGACTCACCATGGCCTTGACTGCAAGCTCCTTGAGTTTCTTAATGTCGTCGGGCCGCGGTGCGTCGACGCGGTCCGTCGACAGCAATATCTCGGCGCGGAGTAGCTTGCCAAAGACATCGACCATGGACGACGACGTAAGGAACTCTTGGTTGGCGCTGCAGGGGCCTTGCATGCACTCGATCAGAAAATGCCAGCAGTGCGTGAGCGACAAGCAGTCGGCCGCGGTCATCTCGTGCACTTGGGCATCGTCCTTGACGAGCAACCGCAGATACGTCGTGACCACATGGAGGATGTTGACACTGGTGGCATGGCCCAAAGCGACGCGCTGGTCAAGGAGGAGCAGCTGCGTGGGTAGAAAATGCCCCGCGACCAACGCCTACGCAAATCTTATCAATGAATCAAGTTGATAGAAAGCGAAACCGTCAAAAACTGCAAGAGCAAGTCGGCATCGACGAGATCGGTGTCATGCGACGTCGTGTACGCCTCGGGGAGCAAGAAAATCGAAGCGGCTTGGACACTGGAGCGACGCTGCTTGGTTTTCATGGGCGCAAGACCTTCGACGAGAAACGTGGACGTGCGGCGACGCTCCTTGAGTGCGTCGATATTGGCGCGCAACACCGACTCGATGGTCACAAAGACCCTACCCACGTATACGCTCCGCATCCTATTGCGTGGGAGAGACGCGTACCGCTCGTCACCCGCCTTGAAGCTTTCGTAAAACGCGCGCTGCACAGCGAGATTCCCGCCATGAACAAGCTCCAAGCCCAAATGGAGCGCTTGATTCATCGTCGCTGGCGACTGGGTGCCCGAGAGCAGCGCCAGCACAAGCTGCGGCGCGCCACATCTACAAGCCATTGCCTCGGCATGGTGCATTGGTTGCAGAAGCGGCACCGTACGCGGCCAGAAAGCTCTGTGTGTGGCTGTACCGGTCGTTGGCCTCTTCGATTTCCGAGAGCAGCATGCGCTTTCTGGTCGACTCGTCGAGGCGACAGCGCGCCACCAGGCGGTGCAGCACGTGCAATACCAGCTCGGCCGACGCTAGGAGGTAATGAGTTCTGCCTCATGAGAGCACGTTTCGCGTACGCGAAGCGGGCCGCGCTTGCAGAAAGGCCATCACGCGCGCGTAGAAGAGACGCATGGTCATGTTGGCGCTGTGTTGGTTGCTTCCGACCTTGCGCTCGATCTCGGCCCAGAGCACGACAAAGCGGTTGGCTTCAGCCGCCGTAACCGCGGCCACTTCGTCCGACTCGAAAACATCCGCCTGGAACGCGTGAAAGCTCAGTTGGGCAGCCGCGTTTTCATCATCACGATGATGCTCGCTCGTCACGGCCAGGTGAGGCGATCGACACTGTGTTTGGTGGCTACAGACGCCCGTGTGCAGTGCGCGGTCGCAGGCTTCCAGCGCCTACGATGAGATGTATACCGAGTGCTTGAAAGAGGCGGGCAAGGCACCAGTGACTGCTGCGGTGTCATGGTGACATTGGTGCGAATATGGTCGAGCGCGTGGGTGAGCGTCTCGGTGACGTGCGCACCTTCCGTGTCCGAGTCGTCGTGTTGGCGGACCGTCATGTGCTGCGTGCAATAGACCGTGATAAAATTGAGGAGTCCATCAAACACATAAGTCTCGAGGAGCTTGGCAAATTGGGTCTCACGGGGCGTCGAGAGGAACCGGCGGCCGGCGCTCGAGCCATAGTCGACGAGCAATGACGCGCTCTGGAGGAGCACGTTGCGCACCGCGGTCGCGGTCGCGCCCAGGTGCAAGTCGACGTCGCCGTAGAGGTAGACGTTGGTGAAGAAACGCACCATGACGAGCTTAAAACCAAGCGGCATTTTGGCATCGAGAAGCACGCTGAGACACCAGTTGAGCGGGTACCGTTGCTGGTAGTGCAGCGCGACGCCTCGGTTCTTGCCTGCGGCCAGCGCCGAGAGCACAATCAACACCTACCCCTCGGATACGCTTTCACCACCAAATCGAAAGCGCGTACCTTTTGCAGATAGGCGCCGCGCAGGTCGGTAGGTGATTGCAGTCGCGAGCGCCACTCGACGTAATGGGGCGCCTGCACGATCGCGTCCGCGCCGACGTCGTCGTCGGGGGCGACATGGGCGGCGGCATCGGGTAAAATGTGCTGGAACTGGCCATGGTGGAGGACTTCGTGGACGGCGGTCTGGTGCTTCTTGAGAGGCACGTCGTGGGGGGCCATGAAAGTGAGGAAGAATTCAAAAATGGTGCTAATGGTCGCAAACGCCTTGGACCCGCTCGTAGCGTCGGCCAAATTCGTGGCATGCGTCTCGACGAGTCGGCCCATGGTCCAGAGCGCCTCGGCGGGCAGGCGGTGCGAGAGATGCGCATTTTCGAAGAAGACGGCGAGGACTACGTTGCCGACACCGTCCACCGTGTCTACTTGACGTCAGAGTCAGTTGCTATGAGCATCCAGTTACCGAGGGAGCGCCAGAAGGTCTTTATGTTTTCAAACAGTAGGCGCTGCCCCAGCGGGTTCTTGGTCGACAAGAGCACGAGGAGCTTGCACGCCTCGGTTTGCACCTGGCGCTGGAGATCGTGTACCGACGGGTCGGCAATCACTGGGTTTTCGACAAGTGTCAACGCCACCTTATGGACGTCCAAAAGCAGCATGATGGCTTGGCCGTTCGCGCTCGGCGTGTACCGCACGGCGACAGGACCGTCCGAGAGGAGACCCCAGAACGACGACGCGCGTTTGCTTGAGCGCTCCATGAGCAGTCGGTGCTTGTCACAGGCATACGTCTGCAGCTGCTGCAACTGCTCCAAGAGCAAGTGGGTGACACCGAGGACGCCGTTGCCATACGTCGTGCGCACGTCGGCGCAGAGACGCGCGTTAGGAAAGATGTGGGCGAGATGCCGGAAGGTCGGAAGGAGCTCGCGAACGTCGTGAAGGACTTGCGTCGGCGGGAGCGCCAGGCTCTTGGTCGTTGACTCGTTCGACTCGAGGACCAGACACTGCAGCACTGCGTCAAACACGCGCGCTTTTCTCGAGTTTGCTTCAATGTGCAGACTCAGCGCGGCCTGGACGAGGTGCGCATCGTCGTACATGAGCAAGTCCATGCAGATGTAGTCGAGCGAGAGTTGCGAGACCAGTATCAGATCTAAATGTGGTGTCTGGTCGAGGACGGCGGCCAATTGCTTCCGCAAGCGGTGACGCCACGCAGCATGCGACTGCCCGAGCCTGCGTGACTTTGGTTGTGCATACTTGGCTTTGAAAAATGAGAGGACATGGAGGCACTCGACGTGGCGCCAAAGCCGCGTCATGGTCACGAGGAGGTCGCAGATCTGCGTCTTGACGCGGGTCATCGCATCGTGGAGCGCGCTTCTCGTGTAGCGCGACGTCCCGTCGAGCGTATTGCGTCCGTCGAGGAGACACAATAGCACGTGCGCCAGGTTCTTTTGCGACGTATAATCGACGTAAAAGCCGCACAAAAGAAGGTCGTGCGCAATTGACAGCATGGCCGACGCAAATGCGTTTTGATCCAGCGACGCGTCGACGACGCGCACGGTGGCCACAGAGCTCAGCGCGGCGTGGAGCACGGCTTGGAGGAGCTGAAATTTGATGGCATGCGGGTACGTGCGCACGGCATCTTCCGGGTACAAGACGTTTGCGGGGTGCGTCGCCGGGAGCGCAAAGTGGGGCAACGGCTAGGCATCACGATGATGCGTTATGGGGTTGGAGGACTATGTACGTACCACGGGTCCGACGGCGCGAGACGAGTAGGCGGGAATCGACTCGATAGTGTGCACTTTTGTCGCAAAGATCAGGTGATCATGCGGGAAGCACATGACGTAGCAGTGGTGCAAAATGACTGTGAATGCCATCCGCACCGTATTTGGGAGCTTCTCGTTGGCAATCGCGGCGACCAGCATCGTGTAGCTCAGCTGCGGCTTGAGCACCTACCGCATAATATATCATCTTGATACATTGATACTTTAAAAGCAAAAATGGCACGTTGCAGAAGAGAGGCATACCTTGACCGCATGGAGGTTGCTGCCGCGCAGAAGCTCGACAAAGAGAAGCAGCTGCAGGTGATAGTACTGCGCCAAATCGTGGAGCAAGTCGAACTGCGCTTGTGCCATCTTGTCCTTGCGATACGTCGCTTGCGTCGTCGTCCACGATTCCCCTGGAAACACGAGGTGGTAGACACTCTCCGGATCGAGCGTCCACACGACCGCCTCGAGCTCGACCCATTCATCGCCGGAGGACAAGTGCCGCGCTACGTCAAGGCAAGAATCTGCTGTGAGGCGTCGCATTCGAGGTTTATCTTCGTTACGAGGTGGCGGTGGCTCGTCATCGACGTTGATAGTCATGGTTGTGGAGGCGGGATCTCCTTCCTCAGCGTTGCTAACATCGCTTTGCTGAACGCTCGTGCGCTGCCTTTGGTTGGACGTCACAGGGTCCTCACGGATGGTCCGAGATGTCGCCGACTCGGTTGAGAACGACTCTTCTCGAATTGGACCAATCGGTGCATTCGAAGCGAACGAGTCGCCGCTGGCGTCCGAGTTGACGGACGAACGGTGACTCAATGATGCGAGAAGAAGCCGTCCCAGCGACAGCCCTTTTCGCACCGGCGTCGCTGTCGGGGGCGGCGTCTCGCTCACAGGTGCGTCCCGCGGCTCCAGTGGAACACCTGCGAGTTGTGCTTGGTACGCAGCCAAGTCCAAAGGCTTCTCCACCCCCGCCATCGGGACGAGACCGAGCTCTCTCGACGTGACAAAGAGGCTGTCGTCGCCAGCGCGCCACTCGGTGTGCGCCTTCCAGCTAATAGCAATGCTGGAAAATCCGTCGCTGAGGACGTCGGCGCCCAACGGTCGTGGGCGCGGCGTCAAGGACGCTAGCGCCGGTGGCAAGACGTCTGTCATGCTCTTGCTAAAACGACAAATCATGAGCCAACTCCATTGCACTGCAAAGTAGTACATGGCTTGAGGCACCGGTCGGCGACTCGTGTTGCACTCGCACGTTTCGATCAAAAGCCGATCGCGCACTGAGCTCGATGCTGCAAACAGTGCGTCGACGACCAGCTATGTCGACGATAAGCGCATCGTGGGTGCACAGACATCGCACCTCTTGATTGGCCGGAACGCTTGTACCGTCGCAGGCGCACAGGATCCCCAAGAAACGAAGAATGCCCGCGGCCTTGACACCTTGGGCCTCAATGCGCTTGCAACAGGCCGCTACGACGTTGGCGTCGACCGTCGCCAGCAGCCCAGGGTTGTTGAGAAAGAGAGTGCCGTAGACGGTTTTGGACCCGGTCTCGGACCCAATGTAGGCCAGCGTCTCGCGGGCGTACACGGTGCTCGACGCCGTCGCGTCGTTGTAGTAGAGGACGGCTGTGCGCGTGGCCACATAATTCTTATTCCGTGCATTCTCCTCCAAGAGACGTACGAGAACCCGATTGACGAGCCGGTGGACGCGGTGCGCCGCCCGATACGATGCGTCCCGCGCGAAGAGCGTCATGTCCCGCGCAATGGGCTCGATGCGGAGCACGCAGCGCTGCATCTCGTACAGAGTGTCCAAGACCTTGGCCTCCCGAGCTTGCTTTTGGCGGCGGTCGCCACCGAATGAGAGAAAATGCAGCGTCGCGTGGAGGGCGGCCACCGCGTCTGCGACCAGTGCACGTGGCATCGGGGCGCCGCGATCGATGGCAGGTTCGACAAGGCACCGGTACGCCTGAAGGGACGCCACGGCGCTGACCAAGAACTGGGCTTCGGCAAGCTCACTTGCAGCGGCTGGCAGCAGCCGAAACCCGTCCTACAAGCACCATCGAATTGACTGCGAGAGAGGATCTCAATGTACTTCGTCCGAGTGCTGGCGTGTCGCATGGAGTTGCTCGCTGGCTTGCAAGTGCTGCGACGCAAGCCCGTCTCGCTTGGGCTTGACGAGATTCGGGTGGTGCAAGCGATAGCCGCGGCCCAGCACCTACATGTTAGAGCGGCTTTCTAAATGCCAAGTTGAGGGGCGAATGATAACCTGGAGAAAGCAGACGTCGCTCGTCGACTGGTCGTTGGTCGCGCACGGAAGAATCTGAAACGGTGTCTGCGACGGCACGTCGGACGCAGTCACCGCGCCGTCGTCCATTACTGTAACGTAGCGCCCTACGCCCACATGATTTAGATCCGGTAGTTGATGGCAGCGGTGCCTGAGAGCAAATGCCGAAACTGAACGGGCTCGGTAACATCGTTGAGCACGCCACCGCGCAGACGGTCGTGTCGTTCGAGGACAAAGAGGGCTTTCAAAGACGCGTTTTCCGGGGAATGGACCGACGAGCCGGACGCCAACGGACGCAAATACGGTGCTTTAGCCATGTGCCGATTAGCCGACACTGTCACAAACGCGTTGGCTTCAATATGGTAGAGCCGATAGACCTTCCCAGCCTACATGCGACGGTGTGAGCTTCTGCACTTTGCGTAGTATCGCTGCGGGCTCGACCTCCCATGCCCCTTTGGATTCGAGACGAGGCGGGGTGAAGAGTGTGAGGCGCAGCATTGTCTCTTGCGTGTGGAGGTTGATCTCGTGCCGAGCGTGGCGGTCCATGTTGATTTGATGCAAACTCAGATGCAGAAAAGACGAGAGCGACTTGGTGCGGGCAACGCACACCTATGACGATTTTTCTGTACGAGTTGCTGAAGTGAATGATGCAATACCGCGTCGTTGTAGCCGACAATGTGACCAATCGACTTGGCCTTGAAACTCGGCAAAAAGGTAAACTGGCACTTGGACGAGCCGTGGTCGACGAGAGAGAGCTTCATGCACACCTTGTCCATCTCTGCGACCGTCTTGGACAGTGTCGAGATGAATTTGCCCGACTGGACATGTTGCAATTGCAGCGGCTGACCAAAATGCACGAGCTGGCCGCGGGCGATGGCCTCTCGGAGCTTGGCGGCGTTGCCACTCGCTTCGACGGCGGCTTGCTGCTGAAGAAGCTCGAGCATTTCACTCACCTCGCCAGTGGCACTACTCGGTGCCTTTGCAAGCCGTTTCTGGGCTTCGTACTGCAGCGACGGGGTGATCCGGAAGAGGCATCTGTCGAGCTTGCCGCCCGCCATGTCGCTAATGCAGCCAAGGCGCTCGTCCACAAAGCCGTCTGAGTGCACATGCCCACGATCGTCAATCTTGATGAAGACAATATCACCTTCATAGACCGCGCCGGGCAGGCGCTTCCGGCTGGACATGCTCGTTTTTTCAAAGTGGCTCGAAAGGTCGCCGTCATTATGGCGCGTCCGCGCGCCCACCTCTCAAACCTTATATTTTGAAGAAAGGCCAGCGAGTGTGCGTGCTTTCCCATAGCTGCCTAACCAATATATCCTTTCACATTGGATACCTCTGGTAATGCATAGTGCACAACAAGATACACAAATTCAAACAAAGAGGTTTCCTACCGAAACCGACGATCCAACGCGCCAGTCGTCAAGTTGTTGCAGGATGCTCCGGAAGCGCGAGCCGCGTGTCCTGTACGAAGGCGACATTGTCTACCTCCATTTCCAAGGCGACGGCTACGCGCACTCGGATGGCTTTGTGGACGAGCGCCTCGGCTGTCTCCGTGCCGACCATGCACGCGCTGCCACGTTTGAAGGGTGTCTCTTCCGCGTCGTGCCCAAGCTGACGTACGAAGCCGCAAAAGCACTGCACAAAATCAAGGACGAGGCGCTGGACAAGGTCGAGCTCTTGAAGCAGCAGGCGGCTGCTGAGACCGAGGCCAATGCCGCCGTGATCCGCCACCTGGAGAGCAGCGGCCAAGGCATCGTGTACGGCCAGATCGTCCAGCTGCAGCACGTGTTGTCTGGCAAATTCCTCACGTCCAAAGCCAAGACGCTCGCCGACGTTGACAAGACGAGCATGAAGGTCACGCTGCAGGCCGATGGGTCCATGAAGGCCTACTTCACGCTCCTGCCACGGTACAAGACGCGGTCCGTCGGCAGCAGCGTCATCTTTCACGACTCGGTAGACAATAGGTTCTGAGTCTTGCGTGCATATGACAATATTGTGGTGCTTGTAGGTGTGTTTGGCCCGCGCCAAGTATACGAGCCACGTGCTGCATCTGAGCGCCGCGCCGTACCCGCGCGATGCGCTCGATCGCAAAGAAATCAACATGAACTACAAGGAGTCGATCTTGCAGCTGCAAAAGTACACCGAGTGCACACCACCGTCGTCGCGCAGTCTCCAGGTAGCCGACGCGAGGTTTCCATGGACACTGTGTATTCTGCCACTAGATTGGGAAGCTCTACCGACTCTTCCATCTCGAAGGCCAGGCGTACGTAACATTCTCAGCCAACCCCTACGCCACAAAAGCGCCGTACCTGCGCCAAATCGTCCCCGACTCCAACTATGCGGCGTCGGCCAATTTCACGCTCAAGTCGCTCTACGTGCTCGAGCGTCTCGACCCGAAAGAAGGTGGCGTCGTGACCGACTTTGACGATGAGTACCGGTTCCGCCACCTCGCCACCGGTACTACGGTCTACGCGGATGTCCAAGTCGACTAACTTGCGATGTCCTAGGACAATACCTAGCCCTCTCGGAGGACGGCCGTCACCACGAAGTGCCCCTCGTCGGTGCACGCGCCGACGAAGGCCACTCGACCTTTTGCTTGCGACCGACATTTGGAAGTCTCGGCTCGGGCAACAGTACCCAACTCACGTTTCGCATCGAGGTAGCCTTATTTGCGTCCGTCCGTCATTTTCGACTGAACATGGCGTGTTTCTAGACACCGCACCACGGCGAGGGTGGGCCCTATCGGCTGCACAACCCAAACCGTGCCAAAGCCAACCACGCCTTAAAGCACAAGGCGAGTTATCACTTTGTCGCCTCCACGCGGCTTTTGGACGAAGTACAAATTCGTTTGTATGACAGTATTTGGTGCTGATTTTTTGTTTGAAAAAGGATTGTTTTCGACTCGTGGAGGCGTCGGCCACCGAGGCGTACGAGGCGTTCTACCTCTCGAGCGTCGTGCAGCATTTACGTCGGTACCGTGACGACGTTCAGTTGGCGCTGCAGAAGCGTGTGCCAGTGACGCACATGTTCTTGACCAACACGCTGACCGCGCTCCGGAGCTTGATTGCATTTCTGCAAGCCGGGGGCAGCGCGGAAGACGCCGATGGCCGCCCGATTTTCCATCGACAAGAGCAAGTGCGGGAAGCCAAGGTCCTCGACACCCTCTACGAGATGCTTCGCGTGGTCAAGACCAACCACATCTCGACCCATGACCTTGCGACAGACCCGTCGCTCAAGGTCGTGCTGCGCGTGCACCGCCTCATCAATAAAGTGCTCGTGTGCGCCGTCAACGGCAACTTGGCGAATAAGAACTACATCGCGACGCGGTCCGCGACTGCCTACTACTATACAGTCTCCAAGGCCAATGAGGCGACTCCTGGAACGTACATGGACGAGACGCTCGGCCATATTGGGTCCGAGACCGGCTCCAAGTCGGTGTACCGCAGTCTCTTTCTCAACAACAAGCAACTTCTCGAGCACTCGGTGGATCTCTCGCTTATCACGTCGAGCTGCCGCAACATTGAAGCCAAAGGGGTCAAGGCGTTTGGCATTCTGCATTTTTTGTCGACCATTTGCGCGTGCGACGATGTGAATTTACCCCAAAACCAAGAGGTACACCTATTGTCGATCGAAAATTCGCATAGGAATACTGGATTATACGTCTAGCTGATTGTGCGCGCGCTCTACAGTCTCACACTGCGGCCCGAGCTGCAAACGACCCGGTACAGCATTCTCATCGAAGCCGCCGCGTGCCCGAACCCTGTCCGGCCCGTTTCGCCCGCCGTGTACGTGCTTTGTTTTTATGTTGAAGTATCAACTTGATACGTGGCGTAGAAAGGACTTTGTCGTGAGTGCGCCGAGCGGCGCGAGCAGCTTTGCCCACAACGGACACCCCGTCGGCTATGATATGCTCAGCAAAGGCTACGTCAACATCGTTGTGAGCTGGAAAGCCGCGCTGAACTGGGACCTGAACGGAAGCAGTGGGCTCTTCTTCACTCCTGCCGAGCTGCAGTTGACCCCGGTCGTCGACGCCGCCGTGAGCAGCGACCTCGCGCAGTACGATCAGCTCGTGAACGCGGCGCATCGCGAGTGGATCCTTCTCGAGCACATTGTGTGGACGCTCCAGCCCGACGACATGTTCCCGCTCCTCTTTAACGGCAAAGTGTGGGCGACCGAGTGGGCCGAGATACAGAGGGACCACGAGCGACTCGAAGTCTTTGAGCGCCTCAAAGCGTTGGCCAACTACTACAACCTGCAGCTCATGTTGTTTGCAGAGCTCTTGCGCGGCCACTGCGCGACGTCCCTCGAGGTCGGCTTGTGTGATTGATGTTTGCTTGATTTTTGTTTGATTTTCCATTGTTTCCTAGTTTTCACACTTTTTGAATGTCTAGATCTTATCGGCGCAGTTTAGCTACAACATGCTGCTGAGCGCTGTGGCCAACCCGGGCTTGCCGCACACGATCCGCACATCGTTTAGCACGATGCTGCACTTGTGCTGGCTGCGCCGGTTCCCTCATGAGCCGCTGCTGTTGCCCCGCTATGTCTACGGCTTTGATGACATTCCCAAGCTCGACCGCCAAGCGCCGTTGGTACGAGCATTTTGGCATTGATGTATTCACTTTCATTCAATGCCCGTAGCTCCTTGCACACTTTGAGCTGCAGCCAGGGCACCCGGCGCTTGCATCGGACGACGCCTTCATTGCCTACCCGTTCGCAGACAAGTTTGCGTTCGTGCAAGGTACGATACAAAATTGTCTTGTGCCGTGTGGACGCATGAGCCTAGGCGTCGTGCACGAGACCATGCTGCTCATGGCCAAGGACAAGCTCGTGCTGAGCACGATCGACGCCAATGTCTGTCTGAGCGCGCTGCTCGTCATCGTCGACTGGCTTGTTCGATGCGGGTTTTACCCCGACATGGAGGCCATTGAGCGCCTCTTGATGCCGCTGCTCCTGCTGCTCGACGGCCGCAACACGGTCTACAGTCCGTCGGCACTCGCGCTCGTCAACAGCTCGCAGGCGACGTTCGACGACACGACGCGCTATAACCGCAACAAGCTCAACGACGCGTTGACCAAGTGCAAAATGCAAATCTGTGACATTTTGCAGGCCATCAACGTCGTGTGGCGCAACTACGAAGTGCTTTCGCTGCTGTCGCACTTCAAGTACGTTGGCTTTCAAGACATCACGACGCCCACCGCCGCCAACGACGACATTGACGACAATGACGATGACGACGGTGACCACGCCGCGAGTCCGGACGACGTGCCACGCCGCCGCCCGAGAGCAAAGAAAAAGATCGGAAAGCGCCAAAAAGACGAGTCCGCGCGGCTGCTTGCACCACCAAAGAAGCACAGCACGTTCTTGCAGCTCTTTGCCAAGGGCAGTCTCGACATGCGGTCGATTGCCAAGCTACCGCTGGCGACCATCTGCATGGATCTCATGATGTACGAAGACGACACGCTTGTACACGCGGCGCTCGCTCTCATGCTGCAGCTGCACACGCGCCAGGACCAAGTCCTTTCATACCTCGGGCAGTGCATCCTCGTGCGGCCGTCCGTGGCGTCGGCGCGCATTGCGTCCAGCTCCATTTCGAGCGCCCAAGTGCTCAAGGAGATGGAGTACATGGGCCCGTTGCTGCGCCATTACATGACGTCCTTTGCATCCCCGTCGCTCTGCGATCAAATGCTCGATGTCAACAAGGTGCCGCTGGGCTATGCGGGCGTCGCCCATCTATTGGTCGACATCCTGCGCAAAATGCAAGAATTTTGCGTCGACAAACTCAACGGGTCGGAATTGCGCGAGCCAAATCTGGAGAAGCAGACCATTTTGCTCCAACTTCATACGCATCTGGACGTGATGGAGCTGCTGCGCATGCCGACGACGTTGATCGAGCCAAAGTACAAAGCCAACTTGATGGCGGTGAAAGCCGAGTGCTGTCTCTTCTTCCAGCGGCTCATGGCCCGCAACCCCATGGGGCAGCGCCTCGTGTTTCCGTGTTTGCCCGATTTGATTGCGCGATTTGGTACAACTTGTCTGACATTCGAAGGACATTGTGTACAATGGAATGGGATAGAGGAGCTGCAGAACATTGGCGACGTGCTCATCGCGATCTTTGTCGACAACCGCGACTTGTGCTCGAGCATTCCGGAAGAAGCAATCTGGACCACGATGAAGCTCCTCAACGACCTCCTCGCGCAGCTCGCGGCCGGCGCCGACGACGGGTTCAGCACCATTTGCACGATTCTCAATTTTTTCACGCATTATATGATCCCGGATCAAGTGCCCATGAAGTCCAACCAGGTACGAGCACTTATCTTTGTAGTCGACTAAAATGGACGACATAGGTCCATCTCTTCTCGGTGCTGTCGCACCCGCAGTTTGAACACACGATTCTGCCGTTCGGACGCGGCATTGAGCCGAACATGGAGGTCGGGTCCGTCGATCTCATGACGACCGATGGCTACCTCTCGCTGCTCGACCTTGTCCGCAACCCGAACGCGAGTGCGCAGCTGGTCTACTTTGAAAAGGTATTTTTTGATTTTTTGACATTTCTATTTTTTAAACGTTTGACACGCAAACACAAAAATCGAGCTTAAACAATATCTTTTTGTAGTCGCTCGAGCTCCTTGGCTGCGTGTGCCGCGGCAAGACGTACAAGACCGAAGTCGAGTGCCAGCAATTGTACCCGCTCAACTTTATTCTGACACTGCTCTTGGACGAAGAAATGCCGCTGACGCTCAAAGTCGTCGCCGGCAAATTTCTCGCCGAAGTGTTCTTGGACACGGACTTGGACGTGGACCCAAAGATCGGGGTCCTTCCCGCCATGTGGAGCGTTCTATTGCACTGCTCGACGCAAATCGCGGCCTACAACGCCTTTCTCTACAAGGACCAAGCGCCATCGTCGGCCGAGTCGACGCCCAAAGCCAACATCACGTTCGACGAGCTCGCGCGCTACGTGTTTGAGGGGAACTTGAGCATCGTCACGGCGTTCTTTAGCTGCGTCTACAACCCCAAGGCCGACGACCTCGATGACAATACTGTGCACATTGTGCACGCGCTCCGGTCGGACATCAAGTCGCTCAAGAAACGTGGCAAGCTCGACGTAGCCCAGCACGAGGTTGCACACGCCACGTTTTCATCTATTTGGTTTCTCATGTTTGCCGACGCCGACTAGATTTGTGATTATTGCGGCATCGCGCTCGGCTTGCCAATCGAGAAGAAACCGACGCTGCCGCCGCTGCGCCGCACGCCGTCCAACACGTCGATTCGACACCGCAACGCGATCGTCAAGCACCGGCCGAATGCGACGCTCGTCGAGACCGTCGCGACCGCAAGTTCGTTTGACCAGTTCAAGTGGTCGCTTCTCGAGGCGCCCGACATTTGCGCCAGCGTTCATGCCGAGCTCCAAGAATTCGTCGACGTGATGGAGACGATCGAGGCGCTGACCGACAAGTCGCGCCCGGACGCTGGTGCGGACCGCGCCAACACGATCACCAAGCAGCTCTTGGCATCGCGCATCATGAAGTTCATCGCTGACAACCCTACGTCGAGTACGCTTTGTCTTTGTCTTGCCTCGGGAAACTTCAATCCGACAATGTCGCTAGGTTGTGTTGTCAGTACGCTCGAAATGCTCGTCCGCACCATTTCATCCAAAGCGCTGTCCGAGGACGCCAAGCTGCGGCTGCAGCGAGCCGAGATCGAAGAGGCCCAAGAAATGTACCAAACCACACAGACGTTTATGGCCACGTACACCTTTATTGTTATTTTTCATCATTTTTCATGTTTGTCTGTACCATTAGGTGTGGCGCTGCGCGGCTCGTCTTGACCTTGATCGCCAATGCGTACAACCCGGGCACGATGCTCAAGGCCATTGAATTTGGCCTCAGCCTCGTTCGCGGCGGCAACGCGACCGTGCAAGCCATGCTCTACGAGAGCATGCAGGCCAGCGACGAGCGGTATCTATCTATCTATCTGTCTATGAAAGTGTCAAGTATTCAACTCGGACAATAGGTTCTTTATGCAAATTGACCGGATTCTGCAAGCCGCCATCGAAAAGGTCAAGGAGACACGTCGGACGATCAAGTACATTGCCGAGTCGCGTCTCGCCGTCTCGACGCCGTCCACAGGCCACGGCGCAGCCGAGTGCAGTCGCGCCACAGACAACCTCTTGGCATTCACGCATTCGGACGCAGACGTGGTCATCTCGGGCGACCTGCTCATCCACTTTCTTTCCGTAAAGAGCAATCTATATGTATACAGAGGTAGCATAAATGTGGTGTAGATGCTGGCTGAGGGGCACAACCTGCAAATGCAGCTCGTCATGCTCGACCAGTCGCATGTTGGCAACCTTATGAGCGTCAACTTGCTTCAGACGGTCACGTCGTACCTCGCGATCCTTGTCAAGGACGAAGCGCAGCTTCAAAACATGAGTGCGGACGACTGCCGGTCCCTCAACGCGTGCTGGCTCTTCTTGACCGAGTACATGCAAGGCCCCTGCAGTGCGATCCAAGAGTACCTCACGGGCTCCGTCATGGTCGAGATCTTTCGTAAGACGCTCAAGGCGCACATCAACGTGGTGGATGCGTCGGACGACACGCTCCCGACCGCGGACGCCGTCAAGACGCTCAAGGCCAACGCTGTCAAGACGATGGTGAGTCTCCTCGAAGGCCGCAGCGACGACCGCGTCGAGGCGCGTCTCCGGAGTACATTGGAGCTCAAAGCCATCAAGAACCGCCTCCTCGTACCTCTGTAACGTGCATACTGCACTTGCTAACCATACGAGTGTAGGAGCTCTACGAACAGTACCATGCCGAGAAGGAGGAGCACAACGGAGATATGGCGTGGCACGAGGAGTTTCTGGATGAAGGCGTCAACCTCTTCACGCTGGCGCAGTGCGTGTTTCGACCGTCCAGCGACACCAAGGCCGACGACGATACGCTCGTCCCCGAGTCGACCAAGACGTCCAAGGCGCCTCGCCGCGGCGACTATGCGAGCGAGGCAGCGTTCAAAGCTGCCAAGGCCGACTGGCGGCACAAGTCCATGTACGCCAAGGCCTACAAGTTCTTCGACGACCTCCACTGCACGATCGAAATTTGGTGGGGCACCGACGAACCGCGGCTCGATACAGTGCATTTTCCACTGCATTCGCACTGCCGCATGTTTGCGTTTCTTGGGCACAAGAAGGAACGTCTCTTGAACGACTTTGACTACAAGTCGAACGAGCGCCTCAAGCAGTTCGTCCAAGCGGCGCGGGGCCTCGACGAGGAGATGCAGCACATTGAGATGCTCAGTCGCTTCCTCCTGTACAACCTCATTCGACCGTACATTCCGCTCTTCAAGTCGCTCAGTTTTATCTTGGCCATCTTTATGAACCTCATCATGGTTTCTGGCAATTACACTGGATTTGACATTTGACATTTGACGTAGCTGGTCGCCCTCAAGCACAACGACGAGAGCACGGACCGCCACTTTGAGCCGAATGGGCTCCAGCAACCGATGCAGTACTTTGGCATGCTCCAGATCTTCCTCTCGACCGCCGTGCTGGTACAGAACTCACATCTGAAAATTTGAAAAATCTGAAAAAATCTGGAGCCCCGAGGAATCTCATCGCGGTGTGCTAGGTGTTTATGCTCGTCATTAGCGTCCCGCTCGTCTTTCGCGCGCGCCGCAACGCGCAGATCAAAAACCTGCTCGACTCGTACAATGCGAGCAAGAAGCAGCGCAAGCTGGAGAGCCTCGAGTTTGATCTCGCCGATCTGAAAGCGATCCATCTCCAGATCGACGAAGTCGGCAAGCATCTGAAGAGCGGACTTCTCGGGCTCACGTCTACGGCCAAAGGGCTCGTGGAGTCGCTCGTCCAGATTTATCATTCATACCTTCCGCTCTTGCGCATGATCTTGCTCATCTACCTTCTGCAACTGACGCTGCTGCAGGCGTTTCCCGACTTTCCCACCGAAGTGCCATGTACGTGTCTCTCTATATCTCTTGTCTCGCCGATACAGGACAAGGTGTCCTCATGTGCCCTGCGTAGTCATCATTCTCTTCTTGCCGTTCGTACGCAACACGCGCAACTACCTCGAAACGAGCTGCTCGTGGTTTGGTCTGGTCTACACGCTGGTCTACGACGTCATCTTTGACAAACACACGGCGTTCTACACCGTGTACCTCGGGACAGCGTGCTGCGCTACGATGTACCACCCCATCTTTTATGGCTACCACTTGCTGGATCTGGTCATCATGAGCCCGTCGCTCCAGAATGTGGTGCGCGCCGTGACCAAACCCGGGCGGGCGCTCGCGCTCACGTGTCTGCTCGGCCTCTTTGTGATTTACTTTTACACGATGGTGCTCTTCTTCTTCACGCCGTCGGACGCAACGGACGAGGTCGAGCACGTGCCGTACTGCTCGACGATGATGGACTGCTTCCTCTTCTTCGTGCACCGGGGTCTTTTGAGCGGCGGGGGCATCGGTGATTTTCTCACCAACGGTCTCAACCACCCGCCGAATTACTTCAACCGGAGCATGTACTGGGCGCGCGTCTTCTTCGACTTGAGCTTTTTTGTGCTCGTGATTGTGCTGCTGCTCAATATCGTGTTTGGTATTACGATCGACACGTTTGGCGAGCTTCGCACCGAAGCCAACGAGAAGGAGCGCCTTATGAAGAACCAGTGCTTTATCTGCGGTCTCTCGCGCGACGTCTTTGAGAATCACTACACGGAGCAAGGCATCTCGGACGGCTTTGCCAAGCACATTGCATCCGAGCACAACATGTACATTGCACAATATTGTCTTCGCGTTGCCATTGTAGCTGCGTAGGTGGAACTACCTCTACTTTATCGTGCATTTGCGCGCAAAAGACCTCACCGACTGCACCGGGCCCGAGGCGTACGTCAAGACGCTCCTCGAGAAGGACGACCACTCGTGGTTCCCCCAAGGCATGGCGCAGTGCCTCACGCGGGCCAACGTGGCGTCCACGGAGCGCGATCTCAGCGACATCAAGGGCCAGCTCAAGGCGTTGAGTGCGCAGGTCCATCGACTATAGTCGTTTGTTCTATCTTACGAATACCCACTTGTAGATGGAGCACATTGCGTCCGTGGCCACGGAGAGCGCCTAGAACCAACTAAAAACTTGTATATGCAAGTCGTTCATGTGAATCAGTCGGAAGGGGGTCTAGGGTTGCGCGTCGCGGGCCGATTGGAGCTCTTCAATGTACGCTTGCATTGCATAAAACTGCTCGGCTTGCTGCGTGAGGATCTGGAGGAGCTCGGCTTTCTCCTTCTCGAGCCGCTCGGCCATCGCCTTGTACTGCGTCATGAGCTGGTACACGCCAGCCGTCGACGCCGAACAGTCGGAGCGCACCGAGTTGGCCGGTGACAAGGGCACGTAGCGCGACGTCGACCGCGGCGGCGTCGGCAGCAACGCCGGGTGCAACGGCGAGGCCGCCACCAACAACTTTTCCATCGACGACTCGAGGTTCAGGCGCAGCTTGGGGCGCGGTCGCACGACCGGCGCTGTTGTCGTCGGCAGCGAAAACGACGGGCTGTCGGCGGGCGGCGGACCGCGCAACGGCGCCCGAGGCGTCGATCGAAGCTCGGGGGTTCTCGGGGGCGCCTGCGCCGTTTTTGGCGGAGTGTTCGCGGGTGGCGCGACGTGGTGCCACGGCGACGATCCACCCGCCCGCGTTTCCGAGTCGTTGGCGGTCGGTGGGGCAAACCCTGCTGTCTGCGTCGGCGCGGGTGCCGTCGACTGAAGCATGGACGACTGCCCTAGCGCCCGAGACTGCGGCATCGCACTCGACGATGCGTGGCCATTCGGCGAGTACCCCGGCTTCCGCGCGTTCGTCGTCGGTCCAAGTTCGGGCGTGCGGGGCTGGGCGAACGCGGATTTCGCAGGCGAGGACATCCCTTGCTTCCAATCGGACGGCAATGGCGTGCTGGCCGTCGGTCGATGCCCCGGCTGCGCAAACGGTGCAGTGGTTGGGGGCGCGTACGCCCGTGGCGCCTCTGGGTGCCACTGCGAGGACGGTGCTTGCGGTGGCCCCTGCGATGATGCCGAGAACGGCGAATCGTGTGCCGAGGTCGCTTGAGCTCGAGGGCTGTTGGAGAAGAGCGACGAGACAGCTTGCGGTGTCGACGGCGTGTGCACGGGCGCGGGCTCATGCACAGGTTGCATCTCGTGGGCCGGCGGCTTTGTGGGCGGCGCAAACA